GTTTAGTCCAAGCCAGGCCCCTCCCCCACCTTCCTCCCCCCGCTCACCACGACCCATGGCACAGCCCTCCCGCAAAAAGCTTAAAAGCCCCAGTCCAGAACCAAAACACACGGGTGATGACATGGCCAGCCAGACCGTTCCAAAACAAACATGGCAGGCTCCACTCTGAAGCCTCCGTCGCCCACACCCGCTGCATATTTAATGATGCCTATTCTCCTGGTTCTTTATCTTGAATAGGATGTGAAGCTCTAGGTTTTCAGGCGGGCAGAAGACCTAATGAGACCAACCGCATATGACAGCCACAGGGGCCCCTGGGGAAACGCAGGCCGCAGCAACGAGGGGCGGACAAGAGCCCGAGAACCTCCCAGACTTTACTCACCCGCATATCCTCGTCCTCTTGGGGTACTAAGACCAGGAAGGTGCCGTCATCGAGTGACAATGCAGCACGGCAAACATTTTTGGCTACGAGCTGTGAAATTATGTACCACATCCTCGGGTAATGGAGTAAACCATTAAGCCACAGCAAGACCAATAAAATCACACCTGAACTCTGCACCAGGCTGAAGGCATTACCTCCTCCAGAGAGCAAGTCAGGCTGCAAAGCATCACCCATAAAACGTTAAATAAAAACAAGCCCAATCAGCATTCCATGTGCGTACAGGCCACACGTTTTGAATTTATAACATCCCATGACATCAAAACTGTACCTCTGAGATTTACTTCCACTACAACAGCAGTTGCAGAGTCAAAACAATAATTTCTTTAGGTTTTTGTTTTCAAGTCAACAAATAATCATTATTTTGTGAAGGTAATGGTTACAAAATAAAAAATCAATCATGAGAATAAGCTTTCAGTGCTGGATTATATCTTTTGTTTTTTTTATTTGTCATTTAAAATGGATCTCATCCGTCCACCCAAAACACTTTTAACTTGCGCTAGACAAGGTTTTTCCGTCCCCTGCAAACTGCTCGTGCTGTCGTACACAAAATAAAAACCAAAAATTTTTTTTGGCAAAATCTGCTTTACTCGGATTCTCCATTGCTCTCTGCTCCCAAGCAGAGGCAGCCAAGCTGCCGACAGTCATTTTATTTCTTCACGACCTGGATGACGTCTTCGTGCTCCATGACATGGGTCACGCCCACCCTCTGAGGGCTGTACTTTGTGCTGGTTCCCTTAAAAGAAAATGACAGTAAAATTCTGAACTGTTAAAATATCCTGGGGAAATAATTCAGTGTTTACATTAAGTTGAGGTCCACTTACCCACACCAAGGCATACTTGAATTGACTCGTTAATGTTCTGTGAATTCGGTGACACTAGTGGGGGAAACATGGATAAAACAACTGAATTCTGGCTTTTCAAACATGCATAAGCACTACAGCAGCCACATTGTCCTGTAGCTTCAGCTTCGTTAAAGACGTACCACATGTTCCACGGAGGCTCCCCTTCGCATGATAATTGCATCTGTGAAATCTGGCCGCTCTATAGGTTCATATTAGCAGAAAAAAAAAATACAATGGCTAATCATCATAAACGATTCCAAAATAGACACCGAGCCAAGACATGGGCCAACAACAGGTGTTCAAACTGAGCATTAAGCGTGAAAGTGAAATGAAGATCAAACGGTACCCCCTCTCTTCTTGGTGTATATGCAGATCAGGGCTAGGTACTCCCACAGCTGCTCAAGAAGGTAATCGAGGTTCAGCTTCATGCCACAGCTGGAAGACAACGCACTCGCCGTTAACAGTGATTAGAAGCAGAGTCGGGGTTTATGCCCCACCTGCCTCTCATCCAGGTGGAAAATCACTTACCTGACGACCACGCTGTGGGGTCTTCGGGCTAAACGGTCAACCTCCTCCATGGAGATCTGGTCCACTTTGTTGTACACCTAAGAAACAGGTTTTTCTTTTGGAACAAACTGCCATTTGTAATTTCTTCAAAGGTAGGTATGGAGTAGTGATGGGCAGATGAAGTGTCAAACCACTTTCTGTATTTTTCGGACCGCACAAGATGCCATTGGTTTGCTTTGGGGCATGCACTGGACCCTTTTTTTGAATCTAGCACCATCTAGTGGTGTCAGAAATCACAGCAAATGGTTCATGAAGCTTCATTGGTTATGGAGTGCCCTTATAAAAATTTTCTAAACATGGTTTAAATCATTTTCAGTCAGAGCCATTTCAAAATAAAAAAACACATTATTATAAGCATTTAGAGCATTGCAGTCAGACACATTCCTACTTTACTTACATATAAACAGGGCATGTAGACTCTGTTTCCAACAATGACATCGATAAATTCGTCTGGTGTGCTGTCCTCCCTAAATAAAACCTCGGCATTGAAGATTTCTTAGGGAGGTTAAAGAAACTTTTTGGCTGTTTATGCACATATCACTTTGCCACAAAATTATAAAAAAAAATTTAAAAATTCCCAGGAGGTTTAACAGATTTTTAAAAGCAGTATGGCAAACATATGAAGGATACTATATTCATGCAGAATGAGCTGCACCAATTTCTCAGAGCAGTGTGTCAGAGGGACAGTTGAATTGTAGGACAGTCCTCCACCTTTCTTTTGCTGAAATGGAAAGGGTTTAGGAAAAGATGAGAGTCTGTGAATATGTAATGCAGAAAACTAAATAAGTACATAAACATCATTAGATACATTTCATAAACACACACCTTAAAGTAGATGTTTGGTTTCAATCGGTTAAGCCTGATCCCTACTGATTCCAGTTCTTTCTCCAGAAGTGCCCTTCAAAAAAACATGTTGAATGTCCACAATACAAACTTAAGAACAATTTAAAAAGCCAATCCAACTGACCAAATATACTTGTCCAGTATATTTATTGTACATACCACTCATCAAATCCCATGCAAAATCTGCACAATTTTCCCCCACCAATCAGATGGTTAACTATTTCTTTTGTCTTAATGTCCATGTCTTATAATAGTGTTTGTATGCCATAATAATATATTTTATTGTATTAAATACTTTTCAAAACCACTTTGACCAATAAGAACAATGTTTCATCAATGAATCATACATCTGAAATTGACAATAAAAGATATTTTGACACTTGAATGTTTAGGTTTAGAAAAATAATACACAGAAACAAGCAGGCAAGCAAACAATAGGTCCAACCTCTGGACGTCCCCCTTTGTTGCATCCAGCATCATAATGACAACATCTGCTGTTCTGGCCACAGCTATGACCTGCCTTCCTCTGCCTTTTCCTGTGGGGGGAGGGGGATTAGTACAATTTAATTATTATATGGAAAAAAAGGTCATACAATCAAACAAAATCTCACACACAAGTTTAAAACAGCATCACTTTTGAAAATGAATTGTGGTATCATTAGCAAACCACTGACACCACACAGAATGTCATGGTGTCATCCACATACCTTGGGCTGCACCTTCAATGATACCAGGTAAATCTAGAAGCTGAATGTTTGCTCCTTTATACTACAAAAGGGAACAAACACTAAATTAGACTTAATTTAATATGCAGCAGAATTGTGGTTGCAAAGGGGTGGGAAATTTCCAGTATATTTCCAGAAACTTTCCATGGAAAGTTAAGCTGAGGAATTTGGTAAATATTGAACTCCATGGAACTCCTGCGAGCTATCAGATACCACAAGGACAGCTAGCTGTATGAATAGTACAACATAGAATATGACTTATAAGCAGTGAGCTTTGAGGCAGATGCTTATTTTGGGGTGTTTATGCACACATAATTACTCACAAGTACTTGGTTACACAATGATATCACTATTAGTGCTAGCTTTAGCTTTGTTAAAGACATTCCATGGTGTCTCCATTTAGTATGATAGTCAAGATATTTTTTTTTGTCCTCCAACTACATTTAAGTTCCCTGTTATAGGCTAACTTGCAATTTTGCTAATTTCCAGTTTATTTCCATTAATTCCCATATATTCCTATGGAAAGTTTCCAACTCTGAAAATTCCCAGAATTCTGCAACCCTAAGCAGAATTGAAGTGGGAATGGAAAAGTGTTTCAAACATTATTTTTTGGATACCTGAATAACTCCAGGGATACACGTCAGCGTTGTGAATTCATAAGAGGCAGCCTCGCTCTCTGTTGAAGTCATCAGACTGAGAAATGTGGACTGAAAACATTTTGTATAAGAACCACTGTGGTACATAATCAACATTAGCAATGAGAAAACACTAAATATAAACTTCAAGATGTTAAAAGCAGGAAACACATGCATTTTATATTAAATGAGAGATTGAATTGAACAAACCTATAATGAAACACATAATTCCAGAAAACGACACTCACCTTACCCACAGATGGAAATCCTATAAGGGCTACCCTGGCATCACCAGATTTCATCACATCGAAGCCCTCCCCTTTGGCGCCAGCAGATTTCGACGGTTCCAGCAGTTGGGCCCTATATTTTGCAAGCTTTGCTTTCAGCAAACCCAGGTGATATTCAGTGGCTGAAAATAAAAACGCATTAAAAAGTAAGATTCGACACCAGTTTGTGCGGTCTTAAACGGCATCAAAGACACAGGGTAACTGAAAACTATTTGGCAGCCGTGCCACTTAATTCCTAGGTGAGAAACAAGAAACAACATGTCAACCTCTCAAAAATCAAGTAGCTAAGTTGTGCCATTCTGGGGAGAAAAACTATACTTACCTTTGTTTTTCTGGGTGCGCGAGATTTCTTTTTCAATCTCTGCTATTTTCTCGAGAATCCCCATTTTCACGAGAAAATGGCCTATTTATCTACCTGCTTTGAGAAATAACATAAAAATAAAAAAGAGAGGAAAAGTAGCTAACGCACTTCCAACTTAGCTACCATCTGCCAGACAATTAGTAACTAAAAAGGTCGATTATTTGCTTTATTAGTCAAATGGTCACGCACATAAACCTTTTAGACAAGCGGCTATTCGAATATATCGCTGTCAAGTATGCCCAAAACGTCTGCAGTTTGGGTTAAAGGAAATAATTACACTTTAATTTGCGATCCAACTCCACAGCATGCAGAAGGTGACGTCACCAAAGGAAGTAGCTCCTTGGTGCGAGACCTAAAAGTCCCGGAGATGAAACAAGACACAGTTACCGAAAGGTACCAGTCTTGGCAATATAGGTTATTAAAATATGATCGCCAAGTAATATGTATCACAGTAATGTGTAGTTAAACGCATGATTAACTCTAGAGAATGATGAATTGCGGTTATAAAGGGTTGTGTTAGATTGCTTAACTTGCATCGGAAAATTTAACCGCGTGTCACACTTTAACAACCCCAAAAGCACGAAACAAACATGGCTGCGGCCAGAAGTACCAGTGATTCTGTCCCTCATTCCGATGCTACTGGAGCCGAAAGTTTCCGTTTCGGGATTTCTGGAAGCACGCCGGCAGGCAAAGCGTCCGAAAAACAAGAAAATGCCGGCGATCAGAAAGTGAAGCCTTGCAGGGCATGTATGGATTTCAAATCTTGGATGAAAATGCAGAAGAAACAAACGTCCATGCAGCAGGTGACTATATAAGCTGTGGAGTTTGCATGGATAGTCAGTTTACTGACAGTGTGTTCATGTTTTCTAGTTATTTATCTTACGTTCATTAAAAAATCGTATACATTCCCCATTTAATCTGTTAACTTAATAAATACAAATATCTTGTGTATATAATCACAACTTCTTTAATTTTTGTCCTTGATAAGGGGGACCGTGACGTAGAAGATCGCGAAAGGACAGCCGAGTGTCCGCTGGATAGAGAGGAGCTTGGCAGGAATACGTGGTCTTTCCTTCACACTACGGCCGCTTATTACCCCGACAAACCCAGCGACAGCCAGCAGCAAGATATGAAGCAATTCATCAACCTTTTCTCCAAATTCTTTCCCTGCGACGAGTGTGCACAAGACTTAAGATCGAGGTTTAAAATAATTTTGTGACTGCATCCCTTAAACATTGAAAATGATCAGAATCTAACTTTATTGGTCAAGTATGTGACACATACAAGGGCGTAACTTTGGGTGGAACATTGGGGGGGTTGAGGTCTCCAGCCATTACGAGGGAAACATGGTTATTTGGAGGGTTGTATTAGCTGGTTTTGATTTATTGGGGGGGGCTACAACCCCCCCGTAATTTACACCCATGGACACATACAAGGAATCTGCTTCCGGCTGGAATAGCAACTCCTGTTGCAATATTCATATATAACTAAATATTTCAGTCGTTGGTCACAGTTAATGTTAACTTGCAGCCTGCGCTTATCGTGTTATTATATAACAATATTTGATCCACGCAGTTGCTTATTTCAGGGCTGCCAGCTTTTGTCAGCTGGCTGGACCGAGATTTTCAAATCGAGACAAGTCTGCACACACAAGCAGGCGCATTTATATGTATGTAACAGTTTTATTACCTTGTAAATAATCTTTAGGGTCTGCAAACTACCCCGACGCTTTTGATGTAGCTAATTTTAGGTTTATAATGGAATAATATAGATTTGCCGTAAGATTTCTTGCGTGAGCGTCTGAAAGCGTGAGTGTCACGCCAGATGCATGAGTTGGCAGCCCTGTTATTTGAAACCAAGTACTCTATGCAGTTGTATGCTTTGACTTATGAGCTACAGAAAAAAATCTGATGCTGTAATCTTCAAACCTCAAAACCCAGCCCCAAGATGAACCTTGCTGTAATGATACAAATATGTAATATGTACTCATGCGGAATACACAAAACGACCCTTGCTTGCAGTGGCAATCCTTAACTGATGCTTAGCCTACAGTTTACTATACTTACGCTGACCTTTCTTACTATCGACGAAGTTCAAACTTTCCTGACTGAAGTTATTTCCCCTGTTCCTTTAGACTGCAAACGAATGAACCAGATGTAAGTAGTCGGCACGATTTTTCTCAGTGGATGTGTCGTCTCCACAATGGCATCAATCTTCGACTTGGCAAGCCGGAGTTCGACTGTTCCAAAGTTGATGAACGATGGCGAGACGGCTGGAAAGATGGTTCGTGTGATTGATGTCTCGAAACAGCGGTCCTGCTGAACAGCCGACGGCCATGCAGTTTTCCATCTGAAGATCGGTTAGTGAGGAAGTACGGTATCAAATTTGCACAAACATCATCGTGTTGTCAATGTGAAAATCACATTGTTAAATATGTGTGTATATTGTATGTGATGAAATGGTATTGGCGTGTCAATGAAACCAACGAAATATATTTTGGTTGGAGAAAAATAAACGTCAAGTTTCAATTTCCGTATTGAAATTTCTTTTTTAATCTTAACGATTTGCCGTTTTTTAAGAAACACGTGGGTGCCTTTGTGAAAACCGCCAGCATATAAGATGGTATGTGTTTTAATCTATTATAATTTAGAAATTAAGAAATTCCATGGTCTCTACAATTGATTACACTTAAATCGTTTGTTGCACGCCTCGAGTTACACCTCAGGATTTGCACGAGACTGGAATGACAAATACACTGCTGTTCGGAAGTCGGAGAAATTTATTCGGTATTATATTGTCTGCATACACGTGTGCTGTGATTTGATGTTTCTGTGGAACTTCAGCTTTTAATTAGAAATGTCTCTCTCTTCTTTCTTTTTGTAGAGGGTAGCGTGAACATAGAGTGACTATAGCGTGAACCAGTCGGGTTTATCACCCAATAAACCACAGCCATCGATTGCACACTGTATTTGAAAAATAGGAATTAAGCCAGATTCCTAAAAAGCTTTGACAAGGACCCTCGTTTGCGGAAAGTAGGCCTAATTGTTTTTCGGATTTTTCAATATTTTTAAAGACATTTAAAAATAATCTCACCTTCGGCCACAGGTGCCCGTTTAGCAAAAAAAATAGGACAAGTACCCCGAAGCAAATTGTATATACATAGTAATTAAAGGAACACTTTTTAATCAGAGTATAGCATCAAGTCAATTAAACTTTTGGGATATGGACGTGGTCAGTTAAGTAGCAGAGGTTGTTAATCAGTTTCAGCTGCTTTGGTGTTAATGAAATTAACAACAGGTGCACTAGAGGGGCAACAATGAGACGACCCCCAAAACAGGAGTGGTTTAACAGGTGGAGGCCGCTGACATTTTTCCCTTCTCATCTTTTCTGACTGTTTTTTCACTAGTTTTGCATTTGGCTACAGTCAGTGTCACAACTGGTAGCATGAGGTGATACCTGCACCCTACAGAGGTTGCACAGCACAGTCCAACTCCTCCAGGATGGCGCATCAATACATGCCAATTGCCAGAAGGTTTGTTGTGTCTCCCAGCACAGTCTCAAGGGCATGGAGGTGATTCCAGGATACAGGCAGTTACTCTAGGAGAGCTGGACAGGGCCATAGAAGGTCCTTAACCCATCAGCAGGACCAGTATCTGCTCCTTTGTGCAAGAAGGAACAGAATGAGCACTGCCAGAGCCCTACAAAATGACCTCCAGCAGGCCAGTGGTGCAAATGTCTCTGACCAAACAATCAGAAACAGACTTCATGAGGGTGGCTTGACGGCCCGACGTCCTCTAGTGAACCCTGTACTCACTGCCTGGCACTGTGGAGCTCGATTGGCATTTGCCGTAGAATACTAGAATTGGCAGATCCGCCACTGGTACCCTGTGCTTTTCACAGATGAGAGCAGGTTCACACTGAGAACATGTGACAGATGTGAAAGGGTCTGAAAAAGTCGTGGAGAACGTTATGCTGCCTGTAACATTGTTCAGCATGACTGGTTTGGTGGTGGGTCAGTGATGGTCTGGGGAGGCATATCCATGGAGGGACACACAGACCTCTACAGGCTAGACAGCAGCACCTTGACTGCCATTGGGTATTGGGATGAAATCCATTGACCCATTGTCAGACCCTACACTGGTGCGGTGGGTCCTAGGTTCCTCCTGGTGCCTGACGATGCCCGGCTTCATGTGGCGAGAGTATGCAGGCAGTTCCTGGAGGATGAAGGAACTAATAGCATTGACTGGCCCCCACGCTCGCCTGACCTAAATCCAACAGAACACCTCTGGGGCATTATGTTTCAGTCCATCCGACGGCGCAAGTTTGCACCTTAGACTGTCCAGGAGCTCGGTGATGCCCTGGTCCAGAACTGGGAGTAGATTGCCCAGGACACCATCCGGCGTCTCATTAGGAGGATGCCCCGACATTGTCAGGCATGCATACAAGCACGTGGGGGCCATACAAACTACTGAGTACGATTTTAAGTTGCTGCAATGAAATTTCGGCAAAATGGACTAGCCCGCCTCATAATTTTTTCGCTTTGATTTTCGCGGTCTCTTTGAATTCAGCCCTTTATAGGTTTATCATTTTCATTTCCATCAAACAATGTGGCATCCTTTCATTCCTAACACATTACCTAGTCCATATCAGTATAGATAACCAGCATGATTTTTTCCCCATTGAGATCTGATGTGTTTTCAAAGTGTTCCTTTAATTATTTTGAGCAGTGTATAAGTGTATTAAGTCATACACTCATATCTGCAAAATACAATTGTAAAAGGCTTCTATCTCACTCGCTTTATCGAATAAGCATTATACCGCTTCCTAACGAATAACGGTTAAGCTCTGTATTGGCTTGGTTGGTTACGGTCGCACCATTGACCTCATTTTCTAACGTTACGCGTTTAAATGGTCGACTATGGGTTTCTGGTAATTGAACTGATCAAATGAAAGAAGAGTAATGTTCTGACTTTGCAAACGCGATTGGCGTTTCTTGTTTTCAAATTATGATTATTATGATTATTCAGCCTAAGGTCCGTGTTCACACGGCGCCCCGCTCCCGATCGCGCGCGCCGCTCCCATGCGGCGGGTGCGCGTACGACACATTTTAACATGATCTATGAAAAAGCAAAAGCCGAGCGCTGTGACAGCGAACTGGATGGACGGGAGGATAAAGATGGAAACAGCAGGGTCTTTCGGAGCTGGAAGGGCTGCTAGTGTTTTGAACAAAATCGCCTTTATTAAACAGCCTCAGACTATCCTTAGAATACTGTCGTGGGTAAGAGGGATTTGTTTCTCTTTTGCTGTATTTTCAAGATTAAAAAATAATAATCTGGAGTTAATCAGCAGTTTTAAGCTTACACGGGAAATATATTTCCCGTACGCAGACAGGGCTGTTTTAAATAATTATCTCATTCTTTTTAGATATTCTTTTTAAATGGACGCTTGCCATTGTAATTTGGTGTTTTACGAATATTTTACTAAAGCTGAATATTGGTCTTTCTGTATGTTAAACCAGTTTGGTTTAAGGGGGTGTTTGGAAATATTAGTCGTTGTTGATAATCAAATGTAATATTGTCGATAGGATGTTAATATTTACAAGTAGGGCGTTTTCCCAATAGAAAATAATGAAAAAAATAATATCTGAACAAGCTGTAAGGTTGACTGCTTCAGAAATTCAACAAATACGAACGGTCCCTACGCGGTTACTATTTATACTCCGCGCATTTTTCATTGGTTAATTTTTAAGCCTCCGTGTCTTTAAATTACGCTTAAAACAACGTTTTTTGGTGCGACGCACGCAAATGCGCGTCATTTTCGCAGCAATCGATGGCTGTGTTTTGATGGGAATCTTATCTGTTGTTCTCATTAATTTTAGGTTGCTTTTTTTGAGCAGATAGCGACTAATTTCAATCCACGTTACATTTTGTGCCGCCTACGGAATGGGTCCACTTGTACTGTTAGGATCAAAATAGCCTACAATGTTCTACAGATGTTCCAGCCCAAATATAAGTACCGTGGCATTCTCACTTCATTTAATTTTCTGCTTCTGCGAAATTGTCTGCATGATACTCTGCTCAGGATATTGCCAGTCGCATCTAATTCGCGATATATATGCAACCATGACATTTTTATATTAGATAATTTTCCCCAATAATATATGCCAGTATATAGATATAATACGACTATTATCAGATCAAAGCATCCAAAAAATGTTAACATGGTTTATTTTAACATATTCGACCGGTGCATAAAATAATACCATATATTAATTAGATTTATGAAGTTAAATTCGGACAGTGGGACTCAACCCGAAAAACCAGTCGCTACACACGTCACATGATTACTGTGGCCCCTAGTTTGGCTATAGGCTATTAAACCTTATACCACTCAGGAAAAAACTCCAACAGAACATGTAGTGGAATATTTTTTATTTAAATAAAAACGTATGCTATTTTTGGCATTACTAACAAGTCCTAGATAACAGTAGCTTAATAAAACTGGCAGAACTATATGGTGTTAGCTAGTGGAGGTTGAGTTTCGTTTTCATTTGCTGGGCACTTAGGCAATATCTTTGCTTTAATGTTTGCAGAATAAGGCAGATAGCCTTGCACTGAATCTGTCTGATACTAGGGAGAATGGAAGTTTGATGCCAGACTTTGAATGTGCCCACTTCCTGACCATAAAAAATTGGGCACCTTCAGTCAGAAACACAGTGACGAACCAAAAGTATTCCAGTCTTGCCCGTCTGTGAGTAATTATGGATTCATACTGCTTGTTTATCTCACTATTCTCACTATGAATATTTACTTACCTCTAGTTCCTGTTTGTGGAACTGAGATCATCTGTAACCTGCGTCATATTTCAGTATTCATTTTAAATTTCAAGGCCAGCAAAGGTTTTGTGTCTTTAATTCAGCCTCTAAAGTACTCCTGTTGACTAATCTCTGTCATAAGAGTCGTTTTACAGCCTTTCCTCATTTGGGCTAGAGTGTAAACCTAGTTTCAAAACACCGTCATCCATTTATGAAAGCATGTTAAAACAGTCTGCGATTGATGGATTAAAATTGATGATTGATTGGACGGGATCTGTAGTGATAATTCAAAAATGCAGCTTCACCTTGGGGGCTTGTTAAGACAGCTGTGCTCATCCCATTCTTTAATTCAGTCATCACTTGTCACTGTGTAACCCAGCCTCCCAATCTTACTATAGGATGAGTGTGATAAGCTCTGACTCCACCTCCAGAAGATGGAGAAAATGCAAGGGGCCTATCACATAAAAAAGCATGGTGAAACCTTTAGCCGGTTGATGGAGATCTGTCATTATCATCCACAGTTTTCCCAAGATGCATTTCTCCAGAATGCTAAACCATAGAATGTCTAAAACAGGGGTGACAAACCTAATCCATGCAGAGCTGGCATGGGTGTGGGTTTTTGGCATGACCTCTCAATCAGCCAATAATAAAGCAGTAATTTTCAACTCCAGTCCTGGGGACCCACTGTTATTGGCTGATGGTGAGGTCATCCCAAAAACCCACACCCACAGCGGCCCTCCATGGATCAGGTTCGCCACCCCTGGTCTGAGATTCGGGAGGTGGAAAATGTTTTGTAATTAATTCTGATTGGTGCAAGAGGTACCTTTGGTTATCAATGTCCAAACTCGATGAATTCCTTAATCACTCAGACAAGACCCTTTACACAGGTTGCACATAGCTAGCTCATAGAATTTCTAAAAGCCTGTTATGTAGCCTATGGTCTAAGATATGGGTGGGCAATCTTATCCGCAAAGGGTGGGTGTGTGCGCAGGTTTTCGCTGCTCTAATTAGGTCACTAATTAGAGGACTGATTGGCTGAAGAGTCCTCACACCTGGGTTTGAACATCTGACCTAAAGGTTATCCCAAGAACCTGCATAGACACTGGCCCTTTGCGGATAAGATTGCCCACCCCTGGTCTAAGATGTCTGGTTCTAGACCGTGGATGGGCTTTCATTCTTAACAGACATTGTTCCCCTTCAATAACGTGACAGGTGGCGATCTTTGGACATTTCCATTCTGTACCTCTTTCATTCGGGGCAGTGATCCAAACAGCCTTTTCCCTTGATGAACACCCAGGATCCACTCTTTGAATAACACTGGAAAAGTCCCACACAAACGCTGTTCTATGAAATCCAGTCCCTCGTCAATGGGAAGATTCACACATGTCTTTCTGTAGGATTCTCCCACTGCATAAAATATTAACAGTACATTAACATTGCATTAAAATTTGATATTAACAAGGAATTTTGCAGTACTTTTTAAAATCATTATGTAAAGTATACAACAATATTTTGCCTTGAAATTACATGCAGGGCGAGCCATGTGATTAGAAAAGCTTATATTGCTTACTGAGTTGTTTCTAAGATTTTACCGAGGCAAGGTTGCACTTGGTTGTGACATATAACATTAAGGAACTATATTTATGATGCGTATGGTGATCCAAAACGCTCCGCTCTAAGAATGTGAAAGCAGGAGTAGCTTTTTCTCTGAGAGCAAACAGCAAAACCACTGAATGAGTGTAGCAGCTCGGAGTAGCCCTACCCTCACACGACGCGTTTTACGGCTCGAGGAGCTTTGGTCTTTCGCTAATGCAGAATTGCCCTGAGAATTGCCCATGTGCTTTAGACTCTGTAGCAAATTGTTCACGCCCTGGTGTGAATTAAATTGCCCCCTCGCAAATTGCCTGCTTGGGAGCAAGTGACCTGAGTGGATTTATTTACTAAGTTTTAGCAAATGGTCACTTGAATGGACGGCGCCTTTGTGATGCTGATTTTAGGGATAATTTGGATTCATGTCTTGTTGATTGAACCAATGGCACGCTTAAATCTCATGTTTCAAAATCAGATGTGTGTTTTATGTGGTCATAAAAATGTGCCTGCTAAAATTAGTGGGAAATGGTAATTAGTTCAATTAATAGTCAATTAGTTCATTAAATTGCAACGTCGTGAGCTTGATTTGATGATTTCCTCAACAAATACAAAGTTAGTCTTGTTTAAAATTTAGTCTAATTTAGTGTTGCTCAGGACTATAACAGGAAATAAATTCCTTATATGTGCAGTTTATATAATGTGATTTTGGTGGTACCGTTTATTTAATCAACAGTTTAAATGGATTTATTTAGTGGATTTATTTATTATTTTATGAGCCACTCCTTGGAGCAGAGGTATGACCCCCAGCTATGGTACAAGAGGTCTTGGGTTTAAATCTCAGGCAGTCCGGTTCCCAATACAATATAACAATTAATTGTGGGCAGTGGTGGCTTCATGGTTATGGAATCACACTTGTAATTGAAAGATTGCAGCGTCAAATCCCCAACCAGCAAGGTACTGCTCCCCAGGCACTGAATTGGCTGCCCCCTGCTATGTCACATCACATATGGGTTGTGTGCTGCACTGTGGTGTGTCAACAATGATCACTAAATTCTAATTATATTGAGTTGAGTTGCTTGAAGAACTGTCATGTGTCGATTTGTGATCCCACTCTCCTGTGTCCGCCCACACAGATCTTCTCCATGGCGGTCTTTTGCTCCATTGTGAACGAAGGCTACGTGAACAATGGGAGCGAGCGGCTGCGGTGCGTCTTCAATAGGAACAACGACGCCTGCAACTACGGCATCGTGGTCGGCGTCGGCGCCTTCCTGGCCAGCATCGGCTTTTTTGCTCTGGACATCTATTTCCCACAGATCAGCAGCGTGAGCGACAGGAAGAAGGCGGTGCTGTTGGACATTGCCTTCTCAGGTCGGTGCCCCGTCTAAAGAGCTGAAGCCTAGGCTTCTGTCCCAGCCGCTTGTATAGGCCGCGGAGTTTGAACACTGTATTTTCAGATCAACTTTATATTCCTTTGTTGATTCTTTGAAACAAGACCCTTCATGAACCTGCCTCTTAGGCTGAGTAATCCGGCTCCTCAGTCTCTATGACAATGTTTCCTAACCGGGTCCTCAGGGACCCACGGACGGTCCACATTTTTACTCCCTCCCAGCTCCTGGTAGGGAGCAAAAATGCAGACTGTCTAGCAGGGAGCTTGGAGAGAGCAAAAATGTGGATCGTCGGCAGTCCCCCAGGACTGGGTACAGAACCAGATCAAGGTTTACTGGTTGGTTGAAACAAAACCTTGGTCTGGATTTGTACTTTCTGGACCTGAACTTTCCACCTCTGGTTAGGATGCTGCACCTGTGGTTGGAAGGTCAACAGTTCAAGTCCTGTGGTCAGCAGAGTGATTTTACCGTTGGGCTCTTGAGCACGGCCCTTAACCGTCAGTTGATCCAGGGATGGTCTGACCCTACTTTCTCAAAAATGTATGTTGGCTAATTTAAATCTAGATCAGACTTTTCTCTATGTATATGTTGGCGGTTGTGCTAACAGTTGTGGTAAAGTTTCCTTTGACTCTATGAAAGTAATGGGTGCTCCGAGCGTAACTCATGGTGAGTCTGTGTGGTATTTTGTCACCAAACACACTGGAAGTTTATGAGTTTCATTCCACCCCAAAATTTTCCACTACAGCAGATGAAATAGATACATTTCCATGAACGAAAAGAACATGTGGTCTTTCCTATGTAGAGGAGCTTCATACAAATTCCCAGAAAACTCTGTGATGTATCTTTCCTCACAGTCTTGACAGACATGTTTATTATGCTTCAAACCTAAATGCCCATCGTGGTCTATGCTGTTTCTACTGGGAACATCTACATTTGAGGATTTTTTTAAGCTACCCACAACAAGGGAAGGGCCTTAAAGATGGATAGAGGGATCATTAGAACTTAGTTAATAAGGATCAAGAGGATACGTTAGAATGAGATCATGGATATATCGGATACAAGCCGCAAAAATGAGTTTCCTCCGTAGGGCGTCTCAGCTCAGCCTTAGAGATGAGGTGAGGAGCTCGAATTACAGCCACTGCTCCTCCGCATCGAAAGGAGCCGGTTGAGATGATTTGGGCATTTATCTAGGATTCCTTCTGGACCCCTCCCTGGGGATGTCCATCGGGCATGTCCAACTGGGAGGAGGCCCTGGGGCAGACCCAGGGCACGCTGGAGTGATTAAATCTCTCGGCTGGTCTTGGAACACCTTGGGATTCCCCCGGAGGAGCTGGAGGAGGTGGCTGGTGACATGGAGGTCTGGGAATCCCTGCTTAGACTGCTGCCACCACAACCCAGACCCAGATAAGCGGTGGAGAATAGATGTATGGAGGATGTGTTAGAGTAAAAGTTTAGTGAGGCAGGCGTAGAGGGGACACTTGTTCCTCAGGGCTGGCACGGACTCCACATGTTGAGACTAAGTGGGCTTCAACGCTGCTGCAGGTCTCTGGACGTTCCTGTGGTTTGTCGGCTTCTGCTTCCTGGCCAATCAGTGGCAGCGGACTTCGCAGAAAGAATTGCTGCTGGGCCAGGGCAAGGTCGCTGCCCGGGCCGCAGTGGCCTTCTCCTTCTTCTCCATCATCACCTGGGTGAGTTTTATGGGTGGTGGAGCTTAAAATGCACCACAGCCACAGTCACAACAACACAGCCCCAGACGCTAATGGGAAATAATCTATGACAGATAGGAAACAAGGTAATAAACACGATGTGCACTCAGTGCTTAGACACTGAAATGCATTTGCATTTAGTTTCTGACGGATACGTTTCTACAAAGTGACCTAGAAGTGAGGCAGGTAATACATTACAAGCATACAGCTGTCAACTTAGATACAAGTCCTGCTATGCTGAGCCCCTAATGAGTGATCAGTGCCGAGTGTGTCCCAATTCCAGGCAAAACACTCCAGCTTAGGGCAGTATGATGAATGATGAGAATCTTCATAAAAATGAGACCATACACAAGGGTGCATAGGACAGACAACAAGTCATGATGCCCCCTAGGTCCTCCTTTGGAGAGTATCAACTCTCGGGGCAACAACGGGATTTTACTGAGTCTGGTAGAGAATACTGATTCACCCAGCTACGTGGTAGGAAAGTTAGACTTGCTAGACGTAAAAGCCACCGCTGCACTTGGGGATACATTCGGGTAGGGATGCTTGGCACATGTCTCTACCAATATCGTGGGAATACCGTGTATGTTTAGGGGGCGGGGGGTTCGGGGCTGAACTGGTCCCTACCGATGTCCCTACTGGTCCCAAACAAACCTACGCCCTGGCCCCCGCATGCCGTTTGTATCCATGCGTCCCCTTGTTGACGATAATGGCCCTTTCTCTATTTCAGGGCCACCTCTGTCTCTTAACCATGGAAAGATTTAGAGGCATGTGCTCCACAGAGGACACACGTAGGCTGTTGACCCCTACTGTGGTGTAGGCGCCTGACCAGACAGCTAAACACTGCCGTTAACCAATCTCCAGCTTGCTAACCTACCAGAGTCTGACAATCCCTCTCAAACTAACAGTCTCCTTAGTCCTTACAGCGAGAGCAGATGCTCACTGACGTCACATAAAACCAGAAATAGGATGCTGTAATAAAATGGACATTGCTTTTGGATTCATGCGGAGTCACGAGTCTCCACCCCCCCCCGCCCCCCCCACCCCCCCCCCCCCCCCCAACCCCCCCCCCCCCCCCCACCAACACTGCCT